CTTTATTTTCCTATTTATTTCCTACTGCTCTATCTCCTAAATTTATTTCAAATCTTCGCTTGAAATATGGCGAATCGATTCTGGTAAGTATACGATATTGTGAAAGATTAACTGAAAAATTACAGAAAGCGAAATGTGATGTCGAATTTCTTAGATGTTGTTTAATTTATAATCTAATGCCTAATTTTATTAATATTCGTTTATGGAAGCCAGGTATAAAAAAATCAGAACAATATAAATCTTTTCAACGTAACTGTCTTATACGTGAATTCGAATGTAGACAAAAACAAGCGAGACAATTAGAAAAACAAGTTTCATCTATCTTAATAGAATTAGAAAAACATCTTTCATCAATAGATTATGTTAATGTGAAGAAATTTTGTTATGATTCAGCAAGTCGAGTACATACTAAAGTAATGCAAACTCATAAAGACAAACTAGAAAAATTAAATCGAGGTCCTATTGGACAAAATTATGACGAAATGAAATTAAAATTAATTCATAATATTTCATCACATACCCTTTCACAGGTGGAAGAAAGATTATTATGTCGTGGTTGGGATTTTTGTATAGAAAATAAAACAACGAATTTCTTAGACTTTGAAACAGATCTTGAATTAAATGTAATGAAATTACAGTCTCATTGTCATGATTCAGTTTTTCGTTCAATTTGTCGTAAAATACATAATGCATCACAACAATTAATACGCACCTCTAAACACAAAAAAATAAGTAATCTCTCAGATGAAGAATTAGCAGCCTTGAAATCACTAAAATCTAATAACAATATAGTCATATGTAAAGCTGATAAAGGTAACTGTATTGTGATATTAGATAAAGAAGCATATATGAAAAAAGCTGATGATATATTGAAAGGAGAACAATTTGAACCATTAAACAATGATAAATTTCATCGAGAACGAGAAGAAGAATTAAATAAATATATATTTTCACTGTTTAAAAAAGGGGTAATAGATAATAAACTTCGCTATCAATTGCAATCGACATGTTCTTCAATCTCAGTCTTTTATGGCCTCCCTAAAGTACATAAAACTGGATATCCAATACGTCCGATAATATCAACTATAGGAAGTTACCAATATCAACTATCGAAATATTTAGCTAAAGCAATTAGAGATGCACGTCCACAAGCAAAATCATATATAAAAGATTCTTTCGAATTCGTAAAAAGAATAAAAGAAATTGTCTTAAATAAAGAAAAAACGTATATTATGTGTAGTTTTGACGTAGAAAGTTTATATACTAATGTACCGATCGAAGAAGCAATAGAAACAACATTAAACTATATCTATAAACCAACTAAATTAATAGATGTTCCTTTCGATAAAGAACAAATGAGAATACTTTTAAATCTATCAATAAGAGACGCACCTTTCAGATTTCAAAATAAAATTTACAAACAAATAGATGGTGTCGCTATGGGTAATCCATTAGCACCTATAATTGCAGACTTATGGATGCAAAAAATGGAAGAAAAATTGAATAGATTCAGTACTAACAGACCGATGATTTGGCTGAGATATGTTGACGATGTTTTCTGTATATTCACTATTTCTAAAGAGAAAATTCTCGAATTTCATACACGGATAAATAAGTGGCATCAGAACTTACATTTCACCGTAGAGTTTGAATCTAATAATTCAATCGCATTTCTTGATGTTCTAGTAACTCAACAAGAAGATAAACTAATTACAGCATTGTATCGTAAACCAACACATACAGGATTATATATGTTATGGGATAGTAGTCAGAATCGTCGTTATAAATTAGGACTTATTAAAACATTAGTAATACGTATTTACCGAATTTGTTCAAGTAAAGAAATAATAACTAAAGAATTAAATCTACTAAGAGTAACACTAACAAACAATGGATATCAACCACATATTATAAAAAGAGGTATAGCCGAAGGAGAGATACTCATTAAAACAATGTCTCATACTAAGAAAGATGAAAATAATAACAAAAAAGTCATTTTCTTCACAATAAAATATTTTGGACAAGAATCTATTGTGTTTGCTTCTCGGGTAAAGAAATTCTGTCGTAAATTACTACCTAACTTAACAATTCAGTTCGCTTTTAAAAAACACATAAGCTTAAAAAGTATCTTTTTACCAAAACTTAAAGGAATTGATGAAGACAAAAAGAAAAAGAACTTAGTATATTCAATTCCATGTATGGATTGTGACAAAGTCTACATTGGAGAAACAAGTCGAATGAAAGAAACACGCATGAAAGAACATAAAGCTAAAATAAAAACATTATCATCAGACTCCAAACTCGTAGAGCATATTCAAAAATTTAAACATAATTTTGACTTTTCTAACACTAAGACATTAGCATTCGAAAGTGACTGGAGAAAACGAATAATTAAAGAAAGCATCTTAACTAATAGGACACTTGGTAAATCTATAAATGAGACAAAACATGCTATCCAAGTAGTCAGCTAAATAACAACTAATGTCCACAATAATAACAACAATAACAATAATAACAATAATAATTATAATAATCTTTATCCCACATACATTCACTAATATTCACTTCCATCTATATTTGCCATTTCCATTTCTCCAAAATTCTCGACTAGCTACTACCAGTGTTGTGGGTGATGTTCTGCCTTAAATTAAGGTCGACACTCCTCGCACTGTAGTCAAGTTTCTTCTTCTGCACCTAAAGTCTTAATACCCTAAACTTATCCTGGTTAATGTTGTGAGAAGTGCTCCGCCTAACATCAAGGCCGACACCCTCCGCATTAATCAGAATAATCATTCTACGTCTCTGGTCATTATAAATAAATACACATACATTTATATACAGTCCCATTGATCCATCTATTCACCGATTTATCTCTTTAATTCTACATGTATGCATTTCTCATATTTATTGAATTATTTCTCTATTTCCTTATTACCTTATATATATACTAATGCATTTCTGTATCTATTAATATATTGATTTATTTATTTATTTATTTATTGACATTTCTTATTTTCATTTTTATTTTTCTCTATTTACTTACTTATTTATTGATCTATTTATTTGTCTATATACTTACTTATAAACTTACCGATGTATTTGTCTACTTACTCATTTATTCACTGATTGATTTGTTGAGTTATTCGTTCATTTATTTATTTACTGATTTTCGATTTATTTATTTATCTATTTACTTATTTATTGACTTATTGATTTTCGATTTATTTATCTATTTACTTATTTATTGACTTATTGATTTATTTCTCTATTTACTTATTTATGGTCTTATTAATTTATCTATATATTGATGTATTGGTCTATTTATTTATTTATTTTTAGTCTTATTAATTTATATATGTATTGATTTCTATGTGTCATTTATGCTCTTCTTAATTGATTTCTATGTACTTATTTATGATCTTGTTCATGATGAGTTTATTTGTCTACAGAAGAAAGTCCATATACCATAACATTCCCATCAAACACTGATACAATTTATTTAAATGTTGGTTTTCGTCAAAATTCAAGTCATCTACATTAAAAACATAATTTACATCGCATAATTAATCAAATATTAAATGTAACTGTACAAGTATCTGATTGTGTACATAGAAGTCAAACATCAATACATATTTATATTAAAAAAATTATCCAGATGCACAACAACCAATACTTTTATCTGAACCAGCATATGGTTTAACAATAAATGAATCATTATCAATAGATCCAATAATAACAAATATCTATCGAAGATTTCAAATTCAATCATCAACTATTGATTTTATTGAAGTAATTCATGACTTCAATTGATCAACAAGGTTCTCTTCGTCTTACGCAATCATTAATTGGTTTATCAAAATCCTCATATTGGTTATCAATACGTTTAACACGTTATCGTGCACATCCACCACATACATTTATTCATATTCATATATCAATATGTAAAAGTCTATGATTATTCAATTCAATATCCATCTGCACATGTTCAAATAATAACATTAAATAAAAATCCAATTATTCAATATTTACTTATTGATAATATTGATTTACCTGAAATTGAACATAACAGTGGAAAATTACGACAACGTTTATTTCAAATAGATTTATTGACACAAATCAACATTTTATTATGAATCAACAAACAGGTTATATTGCAGCTAAACAAGCATTAAATCCTTATACAACATATGAATTTAATGTTGAAGCATTTACAATTGCACATCGTAATGATATATTATTCGAAATTATTCCAATAATATCAATTAATAAAATATTATTAACAACAATTGATTCAACAATAAATATTGATTTATTAACAACAACTGAAATTGGTTCACCTATTTTACAACTTGGTTTAAATAATCGTTTTAATAATACAAATGTTTATTATGATTGGTCATAGTCGTCATACAAGATATTTTCGTGTAGATTGTCAAAAAGTTATTTAATTCTTATACGTCCGATTGAAGAATTAGTTGATCGAACAAATATTATTGAACTTCATATTGATGTAACAAATGAGTGGATTAATATGAATACAATAAAAGTTATTATTCATATCGGATGAATGTATATATTCAATAGATACAGTTGAAAGAATAAAATCCAATGAACCATTTGTATGAATCCTTGTACAGTGATAATAATCAAGGAGCAAAAAAAAAAAAAAAAAAAAAAAAAAAAAAACATGCAACCGAATGTGAAAATTCTTCAAGGTGATCCATTAAGTTTATTTTCCATTGATCCAACAAATTAATCACTTGTTCTTATTGATGAATCCCTTTCTCGTTCATATATCTATCCAATAAATTTAACCATCATTGATATATCACAAAGTGAACCAATTTATTCTACAGTAATAATAGTTATCTCGAATATCAGTACTTATTTTTCATGTCTATTTTATATAAAACATCTCCATATTTATTTACATACGAATCTTTACCTTAAAAATAAAAAATAAAATATTGTTCCATCAACTGATCAAGAACATCAAGCATATAAATCATTAATTATTCGTGCATTTGATCCATTCACACCACTAAATGATCAAGCATCAAATGTTAATGAATGGGTTATTAATTCGAATATTGAATTATCATCTGATATTTCAATAAGAAATCTCGATTTTATTAATTAATGAAAGAAAACCATTTTACACACCAACAAAGCATTCACAAATTTCATTATATCCAAAATTTGCCCATGTCACTTTCTGATCAAAGTTAACCTGGCACAGTCATTCAAGATATCCATAATGATGATAATAAAAACATTCTTAATAATTATTATATTATATTCGTTATGTATTGTTTTATTTGTCGATTCATGATCTTATGATTTATTCATGTATTGATTAATTTATCTAATTAATTATTCATGGTCTGATTAATTTATTTATGTATGTAATTATTTGTCCATGTACTTATTTATGGTCTTATTTATTTATGAATGAATATACTGATCTATTTACTTATTTATAGTCTTATTAATTTAAGTCATTTATGTATTGGATTATTTATAGATGTATGGTCGTAATTTATTTATCTACGCACTCATTTATGGTCTTATTAATTTAATTTATGTATTGATATATTTATTTGTCTAGTTACTTATTTATGGTCCTATTAATTTAATTTATTTATACGGCTATTTATTTGTCTATTTACTCATTTATGGTCTTATTAGTTCAAGTCATTTATGTATTGGCTTATTCGTATATTTATGATCTTACTATTTATTTATGCATTGATTTATTTGTCTATTTACTTATGTATGGTCTTATTAATTTATTAATGTATGGATTTATTTGTCTATGTACTTACTTAGGGTCCTAATAATTTAAGTTATTTATGTATTGATTCATTGGTTTACGCATTTATTTATTTAGGGTCTGATTAATTTTATTAATGTATTGATTTATTGGTCTATGTACTTATTTATGGTCTTATTAATCAATTTATTAATATATGGATTTATTTGGGTATACACTTACCTATGGTCTTAATAATTTAAGTTTTTGTACATTGATCTATTTGTTTACGTACTCATTTATGATCTTATTAATTTCATTTATTTATGTATTGATTTATTTGTCTGGTTACTTATTTATGAGCTTATTTATCTATTCATGGATGAACACATTGATCTATTCACTTACTTATGGTCTTATTAATTAATTTATTAATTAATTTATTAATGTATGGATCTATTGGTCTATGTACTTATCGATGGTCTTATCAATTTATATAGATATTTATTTAATTAATTATTTATTATTCGGCGTCTTCGTATCTTGTCTGAACTCAATAACAACAACAATAACATAAGAAGAGATACGCCAAAATCATCAACAAGCTACTTCAACATTGATTGACATCTACATCTTCGGTCCCCCTTCTCGACTTCTCTCATAATATCATTCCTGACGATGT